ATATATAAACCTAGACCTTTATATGTTAGCCAAGAATATTTTAATATGTATCTTTATATTAAAAAACACCAACTCATTAAAATTGTTACATATGCTATATAAATTATTAAATTCCTCTATGACTAGACAGACACAGGGATGGTGAGACTAAGAGGATTTGCCTCTCTGTGTGTGTGCGAGCACTTACGCATGTGTCTGTGTTACAGTATGTTTAAAATGGGCCTTTATAGCAATAAAATATATAATTATAGACAGATAAATATGAACCTAGATTATTAAATTCTCTTGACTATGCTGTATGAAAATATAATTGAATTTCTATCTGTACATACAACACTATAGGTATAGAGATACAGGGCTATAGCTATAGAGACACGTCTGACTGGAGGTGTGTGTGTTTTGACACATCTGGGCTGTAAGACAGAACTTCTCCCATAAAAAGACCTTTATAACGAATATAAAAATATAACACTAAAAGAAAATTTTAAAATGTATATTATAAAGCTATATTCAATTAGTAAATTCTGATATACTGTGTGAAAGACAACGCTGTCTATACAGAGAGCGAGCGCTACAAGGCTGTGGGGGGAGGCAGGCAAGCGCTTCTGTGCGTGTGTTTGGCTCTTAGAAAACATTTATTTTGTGCATAACTTATATAGTAAAACCAGGCCTTTATAGCAATAAAATATGCGTGTGCATAAAAAAAGGTATGAAGTCATATTAATAAAGTAAATGTTTCTAAAGACATGCTATGGCAGTATAATTAGCTGCTCTATCACTGCATGGCTGTACAGACTAGCGAGTGCTCCGTGTGCACGTGGAGACACACAGGGGTGTCAGAATGACTACAATCTGTGTCTCATTTAAACTATGCCTTCACGCTAATAAAATCTACTTCAGAAGGTATTTTTATATATAGTTATAAATATATAAAATCCTGCTAGGTGTGGCATATGAAAATATAAGCTTAAAACTTTTATATATATTTTTAAATATGAAAGTATATCCCTTTATATAGCGATACATGAAAAAAAACCTAATGAGTGTATGCACACACAGGGGGCCTGAGCAAGACTCTGTCTGTTACTAAAACATATATTTTGTGCATAATACAGTCTCTGTATTAAAAAGCAGCCCTTTATATATGTGTATGATGTCTCCATCTGTATCTCACACAGAGTGCAGGAGATGAGCACAGGCATATGCACACACATACGTGTATATATGCACACACGTGTGCAGTTTTTTTGCACATCTGTGCGTACATGTGCATGTGTTACAGCAAATCTACTTTAAGTATAACATATATAATAAATCCAGGCCTTTATATCAATGACCTCTATATCTGCATATGTCTACAGGTACGTATTAGCTACAGGTGTACGCAGTTTAGTGCCTGACTTGTACGGTGTTAGTGCTAAGTTACGCTGATTGGCTCTCACTCGCTCTATGTATTGTGTATAATCTATGTATCTAAAAGCATCTAGTATATGTTATCTATCAATACTAAATATAATGGAGATTAAAATCAGTTATTTTGTGTACTAGAATAAAAAAAAAAACCCACCACCTTAATATGCAGCATTTTTTTATGACTTACTCTGTGCACTAATACATTCACCTCATGATCTCGGTGTAGCTGTTGTAGTGATGCAATGTAGCTTGCACTGTAGCATTTTAATACTCATATATTATTAAAGTAAAATGTTTTATTAACATAGTAAATAGCATTAAAGTTCCTACAGTTAGAAGTGTACGCTCTGTGCTAACTCCACCTCTGCTGTGCTCACACCCAGCAGTTACCTGCTGCTGCCCTCTGGGGCGGGCTGGGGGCCCTTCCCACCCCCCATTACCTGGGGTCTGTCCCCTGCCTGGGCTGGAGGCTGCGGGCACTCCCAGAGCAGCATTAGTGGGGAGAAAAGTCAAAACATCCCCCCCGACCCTCCCAAAAGCCTTCAGCCCAAGCTCTGACACACCAAAGCAAGCACACGGGTGAGAGAAGAAAAATTGAAAAGTTTATTAAACATTAAGAATAACAGACAAAAAAAAAAAAAAAAAACAGCATACAGGATGCAATCCATTTCACGTCATACAGTTAATTTGATCTTATTTGTTAAACTTGTACTTAAACAGATGCTGTCTTGTGGTGTTGCCAGAAATACGATGGTTGATCGCTTGTAAGTTTTGATACACTGTTTTTATTTTCTTCACATAAAAAATCAACAAAATAAAAATAAACTGCACAGCTCTATTGTAAATTACATGCAAAAATAGTTTTAAAGCAGTAATTGGGGTTATTACAAACCCACAGAGGCAAGATATTCAAATGCCAGGGGTCCTTCGGCGCTGAACCCATCCCACTGACCCCTGCAGGCGCGGGCAGGGTTTGTGCTGGGCTCTGTACAGTGAGTCAAGCACGACACCTCGCTCAGGCACCTCCTTCCATTTTGAATTTCTCGCTTTTGTGGATTCAAGTCAGAACTTTATTTCCATGGTGCTAGGTTTAGTGACCTCAGCACTGTTCAAAAGGAAAAAAAAAAAAAAAATCCCCCCCATGCTTCCTCTGCTATGGGCTTTCCCACGGAGAGCCCCAAGGTGCTCATATTCACAAATACATCTCAAATTCAATTTATTTTTAAAGGGTGTTCTTTTTTAAAAAGAAAGAATTCACTTCCAAGTTTCAGCAAAAACAACAAAAGATGAGCATTTTACCAATGCTTATGGTTTAATAGAGGTCAGTAAACTATTTAGACCCGCTATTAATTATTCTGCAAATATATATATTTGTTTTTATAAAATTACAATTTCATATACCTACAAGCTCCTTCATGAGCAACAAAGCCATCAGTGGTGTGGTGAGCCCAGCTCAGGTGTCCCTGGGAACTGAAAATGAGCTGAACTCATTTATTTGTTATTGTTACTTTGGGGAGACAGCCTGGTTAGAGAACCTGCTTGTTTTTTCCCCCCAAGTTTTAGCCCACATACTTTTTTCTTCTCTCTTTTTTTAAGGGTGGGCTTTTTGCAGGAGCCACAGTCCCCAGTCTCAGGGTAAGTCAGTCCCCGAGGCTCCTTGGGCTGTCCTCACCCCCTTGGCAGGTGCCAAGTGCTTAATAAATAGATCTGTGATAGCCAGCCTACAAAAACTACCACCTCCCACCCCTTCCTTGCCCAAAGAAACCCAAGTAATTGTCTTCCAAGCTACCTTCTACATTTAAAAAACAGTTCTGCGGTGACAATGCACCCGAGGGGGGGCTCCCGCTCGGCAGGTGCCAGCTGATCTCACACACCCCACTCCTGCGCTTCCCGCGTCACCCAGGACTGCCCACGGGGAGGGCAGGCCAAGCTGGTGCAATTTGCAACGTTGCTGCTCAGAGTGTCTCCACGGCAGCGCCTGGCTGAGCCCTGCCACACTCACGCTTCTTCCAAGTGAAAAAAACCAGTTGATTTGATAGTGGCTCCAGCAGGCACAGCGACCTGTGCCAAACGCTGTCAGACTCAGCTCTCCACCCATGCATCCAGCGGCTTACGCTGACCTTTAGAAAATAACTTAACTATGCTTTAAACTTTGCTGCAGCACATGGAAATTCAATTTACTGAATAAATGGTCCACAGGCAAGTACTGCACGTTAAGGGACGCTGACAAGTCGGGTATGTTTGAGGAGAAATACTGGAAAAAATGCCATTGATGCGAGGGTATTTTTAATGCTGCACAAAACGCTGAGTCCTTTGTAACAATCTCCTGAAGCATGATTAATGATTTAATGGAATGAACAACATTTTTATAATATGAAAATAATGTCAAATCACTTAGAAATCTGTGAGCAAGACATGTAGCACCATATTTTCCTCACGTTAATAACCGTATGGAGTACATACAACTGCATACGTGAACAGAGCTTTTTATAAAAAAAATTTCAGCTGGAAACCGATTCTAGCAGCAGCAGCAGATTAGAAATGACTTTGAGTTATTCTGTGTTATATATTATTTTTCTGCCGTTACAAAATTATTGTATTATCCAATCAACAGTTGACTAAAATCCATGTTGTGCTTTGTCCCTATTAAACAGATTCTTTACGTGTTTCTGAAGGAAAAAGATAAAGTGTCTCTTTTTCAGCAATATGGAATATCTTGGAAAGCCATATTACTTCCATAAAAATTTAATTTAAAGCACAGAACACGCCGGTATGCCAGTGGTAGGCTTAAAATATTAAAGATTTAAAAAAAAAAAACCAAAAAAACAACCAACAAACCCCTAAGCATTTCCTTTCTGTACAATAATGGAGAATATATATCTTTGCTATATATTTTAAACATGGAATAGCTTTTTCTTTTTGCTATATATATGTCTTTCAAAATACATTGTCAGTATTTGTACTTGAAAAATACTGTACAAAACAAACATACTATAATTATTCTGTATAAACTTTATACATTTTATAATATCTATCCTTTTGGTCTATAGTAAACACTTAGATTGATTGGATTAACCACAGTATATGACAACACCATCCCCTTCTGAAATACACCAGTGTCTCTTACATTCATTTTTCAGAAGTCCACTTTATATTAGAACATACGTGTTCAAAAGCAAATAGAGAGTTTAAAACAATAAAGTTCAGAACCATCAGTTCATGTCACACTCAAAACAACAATCACTAGGAAAAATGGGCTTTGCAAACCAGTGACTTCTTCTAACTGAATAAAAGTGATTTTTAAAACAGCAAGATATAATCCACAGAAAATATATTACAAAACATGGGAAAAAAAACAACTGAATTTAGGTATTTATTTAATTTTTAGTCACAAAATGGAACTTGAAGAAATGCATAACTAACTGAAAACAGAAAAGCCCCTCTGATTTCAACATCGGATCTGATTTGATACTATTAATTTTGTTCTCATTTCAACTAATTATCCTGCTTCTTATACATGCGCGCCCCGTAGCAGGGACAGAATTAGCATGCTCACGTTAATGTGTCTTTTACTTTTAAACTTTTCATTAAAGACATTAAAACTCCTCTTGGGTAGGGAAACCATCCTACGTCCACTAGGAACATCCGGGCAGCATGCGCGCTAGCGTACAATAGGATTATTGCTTCAGGTACAGACAGTGCAAAATACACACTCTGTGCTCTATCGATAGTACTCCTACTACCTGGGGTCTGTGGAAATGAAAGGAACCTTAACAGCTATAGAGAAGCCATTATGGGATCTATAATGATATAGCTAACTCAGTCTAACAGCACTTTAAATCTGAAGACAATTATCACCAAAACTTAAAATACAACAAAAGCAATCTATAAATTAATATTTCTGCAGTGTAGTACTAAATTATTATTTGTGCATTTTATTAGCATGTTAACTTTTCTGATTAGACATACTTAACAATAGCTTGTTACTCTCGAAAAAACTGAGATCTACTTTTTTTTCTTTTTTCTTTTTTTTTTTTTTCCTTTTTTTATAATTTATACTGGGATCTTTCCAAGTAAATCAGGAGGATGGAACTGGTTACAATAACATAAAAACCCTACTCTGAAGCAGCACTGAAAAAATATAATAAAAAGCTTACTATGGCGGTTCTCATCAGTCCAGGTAAAAATGTGGCACCCTTCGAAGAGGGCTTCATAAAAATGGGAAGTGCTGAGATGCGTGCGCACGCACACACACACACACGCACATGCACACACACAAGCACACACACAGATACAGACGTGTGAACACACATGTGCACACATACGTAGGTACACGCATACGCAAACAACAACAACAACAACAAAAACGTTAAGTCAGTTTTGTTTCTGCTTCTGGTAAAGTGCTGAAGACAGAAAGGTTGGTTTGGGCGTGGTGCTATCAAACAGGAAACACATTGTCCATCTATTCAAATGCCAACCTGCAACCAAAAAAAAAAAAAAAAAAAAAAAAAAAAAAAAAAAAAAGAAAAAGAAAAAAGAAAAAAACCCCACTCCTCCCCCTTGAATTTACAGGGGGCCGTGTCGAGCTTCGTACTTCGCAAGGACGTTCTTGCATTTGCCCAGCTCTTTCCGTAGGTCGGCCACCTCCTGGCGGAGAGCAGAGTTCTCCTTCTCCAGGAAGGAGGCGCGGATGGCGATCTGGTTCTCCTTCAGCCGGCGGGCATCCCGCGAGCGCTTAGCAGCCATGTTGTTCTTTCTACGCCTTGCCCAGTATTTGTCATCCTGCTCATTAGACACAAAAAGAAACAACGAAGATATTAGATTCCAGTAAACTGAGCAGCCACCAGGATGTGCTCTTAGCCACAGCCTGCGGACCGGGGAGGACTTGCCCCCGCAGCCTTTGCTCGCCTGGCAAGCCAGGACAGAGCCAGGCACTGCTGGGACAGCAGTTACAGATTTACGTGGCATAACGCACCCAGGGAGCACAGATGCTTGTGCATGTTTCTGTCAAAACGTTTACGGTAACCCCTCATCCTCTTGACTGTGAATTCCTCCAAGGAGAAGCACAGCAATACTCTGGTGGTACAATTCATCTCCCATCTACGCTGACCTAGTTAGCACATCCACCTTCGCACGGGGTGACTCACTCTCTACCGATTGCTGGAGCAGCGCTAATTACTTCTTGTATGTCCCTGCTCCTCTTCTTTGCCAGCCAACACCTGGTTTACTCCCTCTGTGGTATAATCCACTTCCTCTACCATTCAGCTCGCTTCCTCTGCTCAGAGCTCTTGCTCTGCACAGCCCCAAAGCGCTCCCCTTCACACCCTGGAACAGCAAGTCACTGGAAGAGGATCCCTTGGCACAACAGTGGCGGCTGCTCTGGTACCATCCACAAAGAGATTAGTACAATAGGCTTTGACCGTGGAGAAAAACCAGCATTTGCCAGAAAGAGGCCCGCTAACCTCTAAAGTTTCATAAACTAACACATTCCCAAGTGTTATCCCTAAAGACTGGCCTCTAGGAGATCACCTTACTGCATCAGTGCATCACAGGCTCTAAGTAACTATTTAATTTTACCTGATTTTTCAACTCCTCCAGTGAAGTGGCCTTAAGTGAAACAGCAGCTTCAATGTTGCTTTGAAACTGAATAAAGTTCTAGAAATTTGGAACAACTCAGTAAATACAAAGAGGGCAGAATCTCTTGTGAAAGGCAAAATTCAGTCCCTGCAGAGCAAGAGGGATGCAGCCATTCACCCTTCAAGTTGCCTGGCCCGGTCATACAGCTCAAACTCCCCCTCCCAAGTCACCCCCCATGTTAGAGGTTTACACTCGCCCGTGTGGCTCTCTCGTGTCACCCAGCACAGCAGCACATGCACAGGGACACAGGAGCCATGTGCCCTGCGTGCGCTGCACAGACACCCCAGCGCTCCCCTGTCTGTCAGCCTGACACCGGGGCGAATGCTGCTGCTCCACGGCTTCTCCTGCTGCTTGCACAAGGCAAAGTGAGAGCAAAACAGCTGCTAGAAGTGCTCTAGAACTGCTTTATATTAGTTTTGCTTAACAAGGTGTGCAGCAGTGTTGATCTGGAGCCAGCATATCTCTAAATTGCCTTCACCTGTACTTAGATGGGACCCCCAAAAATCCTCTAAAACAAGCACGCAGCAAAAAACTATGACCCAAATCTTGTTATAATTTCCCATCTCATTCCACTCCATAAAAATCAGCTTTAAGCAATTTATTAGTGTGCCACCTAGGCTTCATCCCTCTTTATTTTAACAAATTGCTATGGCAAATCCCTTAATCCAAGCCTGAAAGAGGTAAGGCTGGCATTTCAACATCACATGCAACCCAGAGACGATTGACTGGTCTAATCTGCTTACCCTCCCCCAGAACTCAACAGCCGGTCCACATGCCAGGGCAGAAGCAGCACTTGGGTCAAGCACTCTGAAATGAGTCAAGGGCAACTGATGGAATGATCTCAGGGAAAGGAGAGACCTTGAACTTCTAGTTCAGGCTGAAAACTTATGTGCCCCACTGCTGCATGCAAGACACTGGTATTTTCCACCTCTGGCACGGAGCAGTCCAACTGCACCTTTGGTAGAAGTTTGCTTTGATGAACAAGGATACCTTGGAGATAGCACAAGATGATGAATAGCACTAAGGAGCAAACTCCGGCCTCCTTACACCCACACAGCCACTCCTGTAACCAACACCTCTCTTTAGGCAGACCTCTCAGCACACTGCGATCCCAGCAGAGCATCCTTGGTAGTAAGATTTGCCCACATAAGTAACGGTGTGGTGCAGATAAACCTTCCGAACCGAAAGCTGAGGATGCTACAAAGGGACAGCAACACACCACCTGAACACTAATGGAATTGTCATTTCTGTACTTTTAACTGCACAACAGTATCCTCAAGGATAAAAATAGCAAATAGCATCAGCGTCTTTCCCTAATGCTACCAATCTGGTGTAAACACATGGCATCCCAGTCTCTTTGCTCGTGCAGCCAGGGATTCCCACCAACTCCAACAGGCTTTCAGTCTGTGTCCTGGCGGAGCAGCAGCAACAGTAGAATGAAGTTCTGCACTGACTACCTCTGATAAAAAAGAATCACTTGGAAATCACATACTGGGAATAGAACTTTGCAAATAATGACGACTTTCACAGTTGTTTGATAAGACGAATCAGTTCATCAATTTGTTCTGCTCTCTTCATGCTATTTCGTCTTCACATCTCAGAATCAGTGCTCTTTCTTTATAAATACTGTATTATTATTATATACTTAAAATACTGTACTAAAAGGCACTTCTCAGCAGAATCATTTTGTTCAGTTTTCCTACAAGTAGTGTAGATTCTTTCACCTAGAACAGTAGTGTTTACTATAGTGTTCCTGTTCATTATTAAACACAGAGCTAAAGCAACAGCCAAATAAGACACAATATACTTCATTCTCTCATTATTAGGGATCTCTATGGACCCTGTAAGAGATGGATTCTTCCTTGAAGAATTCACAATCTATGCTGATGAGACAGGCAGAGGATGGATGAAAAGGAAACATGATCAGACTGTTTCGTAAGTGGGAAATATGGGACAAAGTAAGCTGTTCCAAGGTCACACAGGAAGTTTATGGCATACAGAGGAAATGCATATTGATCTCATGAACTGCAACTGTTGCATAACTAATATGGGACATCCTTCCCTCAGTCTTGTTCAGAACCATCAAGAGTTTTATTCTACAACAAAGTCGTATTAAGACTGGCAGATTTATCTTACATGAGAAAACAGATTCATGTTCCAAACCTATTATCTCAGAGAGTAACTGTCATAGAGTCTGTAGGAACAACGTTGTCACCAGTTCCAATTTACCTTCAGGTCATCTGGAATGAAGACTTTGCGAGCTTTCTTAATCATCGGTTGGGGTTTCAGCTCTTCTTCAGAGAATTTGCGCTTGCGAGGGTCAAACATCTCCTGGCCAGGAATACTGGAAAGAGCAAGATCTGCAGGGTCAGGTTCGTAGCCAACAGGAACTTGGATAGTCTCAGGATCAATGGGACTTGGTGTGTTTCGGTTTGCTGGCAAAATCTGACCTACAGAAATAAAGGATAAATTCATCTATGTATGTTAGAAGAAATTATGTTAAGAATATCACTGAACACAGATTTTTCGAAAATCTCTAAATACTTTACAAACAATAATTCTTAAAGCTTTCACTGTAAATTTGGTATCTACTCCTGCCAAATATTAGATTGTCCACTTCATAGGGTGCATATTCAGACCCAGACATGCTCACACCATTATTTTTAGAATTGGTTCCTAATTCTGGCTGCTGATCTTGGAGACCCACATAAGATCACTGAATCCAGCACTGAGTTGCACTAGACTGCAGGCAGAAGATATATTGTCCAACCCATGCCACTTCATTAAGATCACATCCTCAGGAACAAATCAGAACTACTGTCATTTAGGTCCAATTTATCCCCCACACCATAATCTCTCCCAGTTTCCTCATACACCGATTTCTTCATATATACCTTTGAGGGTACGTTTAGTTTACAGTCAAACAATGTATAGTACAATGTCTCATGAAAATTTATTTTCAAACTCTGCTGAAGCTCTCCACTAAGGAGTCTGCTGTTTTCTATATCTTACTGGTGATATTCTAAAAGACAGTGAAGAAAACTAGCAACATGAAAGGCTGTAATGACTACTTAAAATGCTCTGCAAAACTGAAAGAACACTTATTTATGCTATATTGCTCTTTTATGTTATATAAAATGTAATGAAAAGGAGCCTATCCACAGAAAACAATGACATCCCCCCAATTTTCTTTTTTAATCTTAAGACACAGACATCAAGATCCTACAGCAGCAATTCAGGCACCATTCCCACTAAAAATCCAATTTAATATCTCAACTAAAGGTTCCAAAAATAGGATCCTAAAGTCAGCTGCCTAAACATTGACTATCCCCAGGGGCAGAATTTTCAGGAGTTTTCACATGCCTCAGAAGTACAAGCCTCACAGACTTCAGAGGGAGGACTTCTGATTGAAGCAAATGTTCTTTTAGAATTCTGTCTCTTAGCTAATTCACTTTGACTTTAGAGGTACGATGGCTTTCACAAGAACTACACAAACGTCCTGTGACTGCATAGTATTTCACATTTGTGCCCGCATTTGCAGCATTTAAGGTGTAAAATGGTAAACATTAAATGTCATTTCTAATTTCAAACCAAGGCCGGTGTTGACAATGTATTTTTGATTTTAATCTAGATGGTCACGGCAACTATCTTGGAACTACGTAGAAAACAGAGCAGGGAATTTCACTGTGCAAACCAGGGCTTGCTAACGCAGAGCTGGTCTTTTTTAACTTCTATTTTAAAACAGCACTGATAAAATCAGCTTCCAGGAAAGGCTAGTAAGGGCCTGGGAGAAGAGAAAAGGAGGATCAAAGTTTTTAAAATGTGTATACATCTCCAGGAGTGGGAGCGAGAAGAAAGGCTCCCCCTCCCCGCGCGGGACCAACAGCAGAGCGCGGGCTCCTTCCCTCCTCTGCCTCCAGCCCCGGCCCGGCGCTGCCAAGACCAGACGCGGTGCGGGCGCTGGACGTTTCCTGCCGTGCCGCCTTCATAACATCAGAAACCACGGCCGGCCCGGCTGC